AAAGGGACCAAAAGGAGACCAGATTCATGACTTTCACAACAAAATAAGTGACATGTACGAGTTTGTTGTTCACAAGAAAGGGGTTTACAGCTTCTGCTTCACTAACAAATCTCCTTACCACGAAACCATTGATTTCGATATACAAGTCGGGCATTTTACGTACAATCATCAGCATGCAAAAGATGGTGGGTTCAAATTATTTGTTTTCGCTTTCTAGGAAAGAAAAGGGGTTATCTTTGTAAATGATGTTTGCACAGCATATCGACCCTTTGATGGATCAGATATCAAGGTTGGAGGAATCTCTCTACAACATCCAATTCGAACAGCACTGGATCGAGGCTCAGACCGATCGACAGGCTATAGGTATTAGCCTTTAAATGTTTTAATCTCCAGATTTCTTCATTTTTGAACATGGCGGGTGCAGTGAACGATAACTTGGAACGACGAGCACTTCATAAGGCAATGTTCGAATCAGCTGCACTTATAGCCACAAGTATCCTCCAAGTTTTCCTTTTGAAACGCGTGTTCGAACGAAAGCTTGGAACATCCAGAGTGTAATCCCCTCTTATAAATATTAGCTTTCCAGATTGCGATTTTGTTCATCTTTTCGTACTGTAACTTGTTTTGTACTTAATATTCGTGCCACCAATATGAATCAAATTTTGTTGAAGATTACTGTAAATCCCCGGCTGTTGCAGGATTGTATTCACCAAACTTTCGACCCTTCTCCTGTATGCCATGGGCATAGGCATTATGGGAAATGATCCAACTCTCTTAAACGCATAAAAGGCATTGCCAATACCAAATAAAGTTCAAATTTGTACCAAATCCCTTTGAATGCCTGCGATTTTAGAATTTTAATCGTCCAAAAGGAGAGACGATAAGTCAATGATCACATTAACGGTATCACCAGCAAACTAACAAATTCATTACTGAAAAAATTATTATCTTAAAGATTAAAATCATGAATTAGTCTTTGCGGAGTGACTTAGTTCAATCTTCTTTTAATGCATAACTCAGGTATATTATACATAATGCTTAATTATAAAAATCAGTGTCCAAACTATAACGATTTTCACGAATAAGTGCCTAAATTATTTTTTAAATGATCCTGGTGTCTAACGTTACAAACGTTATCACTTTAGGTGTCCGAGCCATGAACGAAATTATTCCTCTGTTAAATGACACGTTTCACAATATGGTAATTTTGAATTTTAAAAATAAAATAAAATATTATATAATTTATAAAAAAAACATAATTTCTCTTAAATTACAAAAAAAGTCCCAAAATCTCTAAAATCCCTAAATCTTAACTCTAACCGACGTCACTCACCGTCCTTTTCGGGCACGACCACCACCGTCGACGTAGTCCTTGCCATCCTCCTAGTCATACAACGTCGTAGTTGTCACCGATTGACAGTCGAAATCGTGTGGGTCGCGATTTTATCATAGGCTTTGTAGGAATAAAAACGTTGATTCGCTATCGATCAATCACAATTTCATAGGGATTTTGGTCGTCGATGTGAGGTCGGGTTGAGCTCTGTCGACGCCTCAGAGCGACAACTGACATGTGTTTAAGGGTTGAAATGAAGTTTTCAAAGTTTTGATGTTATTTTAAAATTTGTTTGTTTTTTAAATATAATTTTGATTTTTTATAAAAAATTTAAAAATTATCAGAATGTGACACATACCACTTAACTTAAAAAATTAACTTCTTTGATGGCGCGAGCACCTAAATTGATAATGTTTATCACGTTGGGCACCGAAATATTTAAAAATGTTATATTTTGGACACATATTTTATAATTAATCCTATACAAAAATATACAATAGATATAATTAATAAATTAAATGATGATAAATATTAAAAGAAGTCGAAATTAAACTTATATAATTATTTGATTTATAAATCGTTGATAGAATTATATTATATAAAATATTACTCCAGATTTAATCCAGGAATGATGTCAACAAAATTATCCATGTTAATCTGCCCAATTAACCTGAAAATAGTTTTTATTGAAGTAAAGAAAATTAAAAAAAATGAAGAACAATTAATAATATAGAAATGAAAGAACCCCACCGCCTACGGCCAACCACCAACGGCAAACAGCCAACAACTCCGAGCCAGGTCAGCATTTACATGCAAATTTAAGAAAGAGATATCTTAACCGGATATTTATCAATTTCATTCTTCCAAGGATTTCCCCTTGATTCATTCATGGGAGTCGACCTAAGAGCTCTCCAAACAGCACTGTTACATTTGAAACCCGACCCGAATGCAATCTGCCACACCCGGTCACCGCCCGATACCCGTCCCTTGGCCTCCGTGTAAGCCAGTTCATACCATAATGAGCTGCTCGAAGTGTTTCCGAATCTATTTAGAGTCATCCTCGAGGGTTCCATGTGCCAATCCGACAACTGCAAGTTCTTCTGCAATTCATCCAGCACTGCCCTTCCGCCGGCGTGGATACAGAAATGCTCGAAAGCGAGCTTGAAATCGGGTATATAAGGACTCACTTTGGCTTTCAAAAGCTTCCTCCGGACGAGCGTGACGAAGAACATGAACTGCTCCTTGAATGGTAAAACAAGGGGACCCAAAGTGGTGATATTGGTTTTCAAAGCGTCACCGGCCACAGCCATCAACTCACGAGCCAATGAAACTCCGATCGTTCCTTTGTCGTCCTCTCTTTGGTACACGCAGTTGTAATGTCTGTCGTCGGCTCCTTTATGGGTTCGAACCACATGAACGAGCTGGTACTTGGAACGAGCCCTGTCTCGTGGCTTGTTCGACAACAGCACTGCAGCTCCACCCATGCGGAATATGCAATTGCATAGTAGCATGGATCTGTCATTCCCGAAATACCAGTTGAGAGTTATGTTTTCGGTGCTCACCACTAAGGCATACGTGTTGGGGTTGGATCGAAGCAGGGTTTTTACGAGATCGATCGATATAAGGCCGGCACTGCAACCCATTCCCCCGAGGTTGTAGCTGTTGATATCTGTACGTAGCTTGTAATGGTTGACGATCATGGCCGACAGCGACGGTGTCGGGTTAAACAAGCTGCAATTCACAATAAGGATGCCGATATCCCTCGGGTTAACTCCGGTTTTCGCGAAAAGTTCGTCGACTGCTCCAAACATGACAGCTTCTGCTTCGGCTCGTGCCTCTTCCGTGCACATATTCGGCGGCGTAGACGTTATCCCTCTCGGGAAATACGTCTCATCGCCTAGACCGGACCGAGTCGATATCCTTCTCTGAAACTGAAGCGTGTCCTCCGTGAAAGCGCCGCTCTCTTCAGTCATCTCCAAGAACGAGTCGACCGACATTTTACGATCATCTTCAGGCTTGTAGCAAGCGAAGTCGACGAGATAAACCGGCCTGGACCGCTTTGCATAGTAGAGACCGAAGAGGAAGAATACGATTAACAAACCAGCTAGTCTCGTAGCAGCATCAATGCTCTCGAGCCTAAGGGATTGGTTGGTCCATAACTGGGAAACCCTGTCCGGTTTCAGACCGGTGAACTGAACCAACGCGACAATGAACAAAGGTAGGATAAGAGCAAAGATGAGCGCGGTGGCCGGGTTACATGAATAACCATAACCCAACTTAACGTATTTAAGCTTCACAGATTGTAAGAAATCAGGCAACCTTTTACGGATCCTGATGACTGCGGATGACGAGTCTTTGAACGCCATTTCCGCCGTCAGACGTTCTTTGTCCATCTCTATGGTATCCCTATCCATAGTTTGAGTGGCTCTCAAGGAAATATGAGTCTGTCTGCTTGTATCCGACTAAAGAAGATGAACTAAAATCACCTAAATAGAAGGAAATCCTACTTCTGAAACCTCAGGGAGAGGGAAGCTAGACCAGTAGGAATTAAATACAACAATAACTACAAGAAAAAGGAAAGTTGGAAGGAAACAGAGCGTTGAATTAATGGTGGGTAGCTCCAAGAAAAGATAGATCAGCTCAACCAAATTAAGAATATACTCCGTGTGCTACGAGATTAGTAGTTTAGTAACAACAATAATAATAATTAAAAGAGGTTTAACATCCCATTTTCCTTTTTGAGTGTCAGAATGTTGAAAAACTGGGGAAAATGCTGTTATATTTTAGTAGATGGGATTGTGTGGGCTGCCAGTTGATGGACGAGGTTGCTTTCAAGGAAGCTTGAAGAGTGCTTTGATGTCCTTTGGTTACTGCATTGAAATCGAACAAAACTGCGTGTCCAAGTGGTGTTTCAAAGCTAAAGCGAATATTAAAAGGTCCAAAGAGAGAGACAGATAGAGTCGCGTCGGAATAGGCCGGTGGAGTGTAGGTGACTGGCAATCGACAATCAGGCTCCATTGGTCAAACAAGGCTGCCGCTAACCTTCCAAGTGGTGTTTTATACGACTGGTCTATTGATTAATTATTCGAGATCAAATATTCTAGAAACAGTGATGATATTTCTGACTAAACCACTAATAAAGTATCATATAATGTAATGACAAAAGTGCAATAAAATAATTATCTTGTTAAATATAGAAAAATTAAAATTAAGAAAATTTGTGTATATAACGAATTTGGTTGGGTCACCTCTATAATAAGTTTTGTAAAATTCGATTTAAATTTATCGATCGATAGATCGGATAAAAAAATCATAAAGCTGCCAAAACAATTGAAAAGAAGAAAATGGTATTTTGCAATGCATTCGGTGATGCTCTCTGTATGTTTGCATTTTTCCAAATCTCAGAACTATAAATTCAGAGATCATACGACAACTGTACAAAGGAGCAATTGTAAATTAATTATAATTCATTTTATACATACATTTAATGACTCTAATTATAATTGTACAAAGGAGCAATCGTATATTAAAGAAATCAATGAATTAATAAACGGTAGGGGGAAAAAGTATGCGTGCTTCATTAATTACCGGTGGCTAAGCTAAAGCATACGGTCTCATGCATCCCTTTTTATGACCTGCACAATCAAATAACAGTCATTAAATTTTATTTTTGACATAAATCAATTAAATTAAATGGATTTAATCGTCACGTACTTCTTTTTCTTCAGCAATTCCATCAGTTTTCCAGATTATATCATTCAATCCAGATGAAAAGTTTTTGTAGAACTGTCGTGTTAAAAAAATAAAACCACAGCTAAAATGGGTTATCGTACAGTTATTCCAAAGCTAGGTCGTGTCGAAATTCGTCGAATTCGGATGAATTAAATGCAACTACTATGTAAGTGTATACCTTGTGAAACTCCAATGTGTCTCCGCCGGTTTTCCGGAACTCCACCATATGTAAGCACGGAGCAACCTCGAACACCTGAGATCATAGAGCAATGAATTCTCGACCTTGTTCTTCTCCGACATCGAATAATGTAATCATCGGACATGGCAATGTTGTGTTACCTCGGTGGCCACGGAGAGTTGTCCCTTTCTCCCTCTTTTGTCACCTTTCAGCTTCATCTATGGCAATGCGAAATATACAAGTACATGAGACATGAAACAGAAGTTGTAGACATACAAGCAGCTAGTGTTGCAACATGGATGAACATAACATAAATCGAACCTTATAGTTCCGCTTGTCAACATTGAATCCTAGAGGCTTTGCAGCTTCCTCGATTTTGGAGATGATTTCGTTCGGAGGACATTGCGAAGCAAAACTGGTTTCTCGCTTCGCAAGACGCTGTCGTTCCGATTCGGACCGACAAAGATAAAGGGACACACTCAGATAAGATGGAGAGTGGATATCCAGGTTAAACACATTGCATTCAACATTTAGTATGGTGGAAGCTAAGAGGATTTTGATTGCATACCATCTGCTTCTCAAACAAGTTGTCCAGACTAAAGCTTTGCGACCTGGAGATGAGCTCGAAAGCATTCATCGACACAGGTCTCACTTTCCTTTCTGTTACAAGATTTTCCTGAAAAACGGAATAACAATCAAGTACTCAAGTGCTTGTACACGCTTATGATAGGACTCTGTTTAGGCAGAGAAACAGAACAGATATAGTACGAAATGAACTACCGTTGAGTCGTTAAAAGCGTCGTCGATGTCGTCGAGATTTATATCCTCTTCCTGCTCGAATTGGGGCGGTTGGTACCCTTTCTTGAACCATACATCTTGTAGAATTTCAGGAACAGTTATACGCTGGCACAACGAACACGCAAATTTTCAACACAAGGGCACGTATCATATACAGGTGATCAGAAAATGTAAAGCATGAAGGGTTTCGGAACGTACCTTAAGAGGATTCGGATCAAGAATACGCTGCAACAATTTCCTTGCACTAGTCGTAAAATATGAAGGACAAGTGAAATCGGCCCTTGTGATCTGAAAATTTTATCAGCGTGTACCAAAAGTCTTAATCAAGTTCTCATCAAAAAAAGAAAGCTGGATACGGAGGTTTACTTACTTTCTTATACAAGCATACCAGGTTTGGTTCATCAAAGGGCAAATAACCAGCCATAAGTACAAAGAGAATAACTCCACAAGACCAAATATCCGATGCTCGACCGTCGTAACCTTGATCTTTAAGCACCTGATAATGAAATATCGAACACGAGTGACGAAGAAATCGCAGCATTGCCGCTCACTATCTGTATAAGGTAGTCATGATATACACATACCTCTGGAGCAACATAATTCGGAGTCCCACAAGCCGTGTGAAGCAGGCCATCCTCCTACATTTGGAAGAATAATGTTACAAACGGGACGAATGCATGATTTCATGCTTAGATTATGTGTTTACCCGAACTTGCTGCGAAAAAGCACTCAATCCGAAATCTGATATTTTAAGAACACCATTGGAATCCAGAAGAAGGTTCTCAGGCTGCGAAAATAGACAATTAGATATGGAATCAGAAGCTATAACGAACCAATCTCCGATTTCCAAAATCAAAAGCTTTGAAACACGGTCATCCAATGAATCAGTTACATCAAAGGGAGAGTTGAACCTTCAAATCTCTGTGGAAAACGCCTGTACCGTGGCAGAAATCAACAGCATTAATAAGCTGCTGGAAATAGCTTCTAGCTTCATCCTCTTTGAGTCTCCCTCGTGTTGCCTAGAAGGAAAAATCGAAGATTTTTGGTATCATGAACAATAAAACTCCATGAGCAGTTACAAAATATAGACAACCGCTTACAATTTTGTCGAAAAGCTCGCCCCCACCAACATACTCGATCACGATATAAATCTTTGTCTTGCTTGCCATAACCTGTGGCCATAACCCTAAACGGGATCAATCAACCTTACATCATACTTCCAGGGATTAGTTTGTTTACGTGTACCTCATATATTTTAACTACATTGGGATGCTTTATAAGCTTCATTGTCGATATTTCTCTCTTTATCTGCCCCAAACAAAATCACCCTTAATCCAAAAGAAAAAATGGTTGAATTTAGACCAATGGGATTCTTGTTAACCTGTTCGACAATCTGGTGACGGAGGACTTGGTCACGGTCGAGGATTTTAATGGCGACACACTCGCCGGTCTCCACATTCTTAGCGAATTTAACCTTGGCGAAACTCCCCTCACCCAAGGTCCTTCCCAGTTCGTACTTCCCTACGCGTGTCCTCGTCGTCCGAACCTTCTCCGACGTAGTATCATTACTATTCTTCTTCGTGCTCATTCTGTCCACCTTCAACCGCCGTAGCTGGAAAACAAACGTAATATGGTTTTTTTTGTTGGCGTGGCGGGAAGAAATAGATGGTGGCAACGGCAGGGGAAGGATTTCATATAGGAATTATGCCATACGTATGAAGCCATTAATATTGGTGGATGGGAAATGAGTGGGGCCCGGAATATGATGACGTGGATTCGGAAATACCGCTGTTCCTTCCGTGGCTGCCATGAATTGACCAATTTCTCCCTCTCATCTCATCCATTTTATTTCTTGCAAGGACTATATTGCTTTGAAACGGGAGGGGGAGAGTGTTTGCTGTATTATTATTAGAGTACACAAAATAATCTTTAACTATAGAGTATTGATTTGTTGAGTACTTCAATTATTAAAACACTACTGTTTATTATATTATAAACTCGTTATTTTTCATTAAAAATAGACAGTATTCTAACTGAATGTTAATCCAATAATTGTGATATGATAAAACTTGATATCAGAATCTCAAACGACTATCCTATCATAGTCTTCATGTTAACATCCAACTTAAGCAACTGTCAAATTTTTAACGAAAAATTATGAATTTGGTACATAATGAATAATCAGATGATAATTTGTAACTTTAATAGACGATGCACCTAACAAAGCAATATTCTATATTCAATGGATCATTTTCTAACTTTTAATAGTCGAAAGACTTAATAAAATAATATCTTATAGTCGGAGGACCATTTTGTACTTTATCCTTATTATTATTATGTTAATAACTGAAAAAAATAACATAAAAAATCCATATCCATATGTAATTTGATACAGGCACGACACGATACTTTGTTGTGGTGTAATTGATTTAGACCTAAACCTACGTTTCGAATAAATTATTTAATAGATCCGGCTCATCACGTTACCCATAGTCTCAATGAATGAGAGCTATCAATTTAAAATAACTTTCAAATAATTATCTACTTCTTATTTACATGTAAGAAAGAGACAAAGATTCATCTTAGAAAAAAAATGAGATAAACAAATATTATTATTTGGGACCATAGATAACATAACGAAATCATGTCCATCTAATAAATTTTTCATGTTCGATCTAATTTTTTTAAGTAAAAAATGAGCTATTAATATTCGTTGTTAATTTGTTGTTGACGTGATATATTTTATGTGTCTCTAGTACTGACGTGCCAGTATAACATGTACATAAATGACGATGTGTCACATACCATGCATATAAGTGATGACATGACATCTATCACATTTCATAAAGTAACGACATAATATTATTTACATAAATAATGATATATCACATGAAACATGTCTAAAACGATAAAATGATATATGTCACATATTCAAAGTGATAAAATAATATACATCATTTGTTTAAGGTGATGACACACCATAAATCATGTGTTTACACTTATGATATGATATGCCACGTTAATTAATTGTTTTAATAATGAAATTAATACTTTTTATTTTTATTAAATTAACTAATCCAATTATCATTTTATAAAGAAGATAAAATCATTTTACAGTTAATATGTTTTTATATTACTTTTCTTTTGCATGGGTATATTCAATGAATAAAATATCAATAAAATATACTCCTTATTTAACTTATAAATATATTATTTATATTATAAAATATTAATCATAGTACTATATTCAATTCAATGTTTCTTTGTTTGCGTCACTAGTAATCACGTGGCCCACCTCATAACAAAATGCCAACTATTATAACGTGGAAATTTTAAATCCTTTTGCAAAGAGTACGTACCACGTGACCAAAATAGCTGTTCATGCACCTTTAAGTGAACTAAAATAACCAATTTCTTAAATGACAAAATAAGAGTCGTAAGCGACAAATATTTCATCGTACGGAAACGAATAGCGGTAAAAGAATTAGGGTAAACGACACATTTAGTATTTAAATTATTAGTTTAATACGTTTTAGTACTTAAGCTTTTAATTTTTTTTAAAATCATACTTATTGTTTAATTTTTTGTTTCATTTTAGTATCTCACTTTTAAAAACTAAACGCGTTTAGTACTTAAAATATCAATGTTGGTCCGTTTTAATACCTACGCTTTCAATTTTTTTAAAAATTTCACGTTAAATTTTGAATATGGGTACTAAAATAAAATAAAAACTAAACTTTATGTATGATTTTGAAAAAAAATAAAAGTTTAAATATTAAAATAGATCAAAACTGATAGTTTAAGTATTAAATATGTAATTTATCCAAAGAACTGTTCCAATTGAATGAGTTCAATTTATTTATTAATTTAAGATAAATACAAGACAATATATATTAAAATGGGTTCGGTTTAGTTAATCAATTATCCATTGAATGTGAGTTTAAACAATATAATATAATTATATAGTGATAAAATTATATAATATGTAAGCGTTCCAAGGATATGAAAATATATAAACTTTAAAAAGTTTGAGAAAACTTAATATTCAACAGATGAAAAGATATCAATAAAAACATGATCTCCACCGTTGTTGTTATCTCTTTGACATATTACTCTGGATCGTAAATTCTTGAGCTATCATTTTGTACTAATTTACAGCTTTATTTTATTTATTTCTCTGACGTTTTGTACGTGCTAATTTGTGGCCACTCGTGTTACCGGTCCCTCATACGATCAGGGTTTCACTAATTTATTATTATTGCCATATTAATAATAATAATTAAAGAAAAACAAAACATATAGGATATACGGCCATAAAAATTGTAGTAGCTGAAGAAATAGACCCATCTTTAAACATTTGGTTAAAATGGGGACGCAGGGTTCGTTTTAATAAAGCACTTGATTAGAGGAAAGCACTTGATAATAAAGACAGAATAAAGCAGATAATCAGAGGAAAAAGGCATTAAAAACTACCCTAGTATTATTAGTTTATCACGTACGGAGTGAATGACCTTAATGCTCTAGTCTTTTGAGGATAGCGGCTTTGAGTGATTCTTCGGTTCTGAATCCATGGGGGGTTTTGACGAGGGTATCCTGGAGCATGAGCTTGTCGACACACGACACGCTTGCATGATGGACCTGAAACTTCAAGTCACGAAGTGCAGCCATTAACCTAGCGGCCGGATGGTTCGTGTTCTCCGATTGAACCCTAATCATCGCGTCATCGTTTCCCATGATCTTGATATCGACTTGTAGGTCACGCCACCCGCCGGCTGCGGCTGATGAACTCCTCGGCCTAGCTTGTTGCTCGAACGAGGTGGTGCTTTGGTTATCCATGGAATCGAACATTTCTACCTTTACTTTCTTGCAGTTTTCGTGAAGCCGTGATTCCAAGTGCTGGATTTTCGACTTTAGCTCGCCGATGTACGCGACGGCATCGGACAACAGCGATGCTTTGTCCATGCGTGAGACGTTCGGGACTACAGCTCGGAGCGCATAAAACCTTTTGTTCAGCTTCTCACGGCGTTGTTTCTCGGCTTCTACGTGGTTCAACGGTTTCTCTTGTCCGACAATCGGTTTTCTTCCACGTTTCTTCGGAGTTATCTTCTCTGTATCTGTTTTATTCTTGGCACGTGATGGACAATCTGAATCTGAATGCTCTGAGATAGAACTCGGGGTTAGATTTGAACTAGGATTTGGATTTTGATCGGACCCGAACAGGGATTTAACTTGCTGGACTAGTTCCCAATTTTCATTGATGATTTCCGGGGATCCAAGCTCAAGAACACCAGAAGAAGTCGATATACAAACGAGTGTTTCGATGCCATGCAACTGTGCTTCTCTAGCTCGTTCACAATCATTGAATTGCTGCTCAATAGCACCGGTTAACCAAACCAAAGAGCCAGTGCTAAGAGCCTTGCCGAGAACCCCATCACCGGCCGAGAAAGATCGACTCAGAGACATCACATAGTACCATTCGACATGGGTGATATCTGTGTCGCCGATCAACGACGCGTCGAGGTCGTGGTTGTCTCCGATGAGGCCTTGGAGTCCTTTCATGTCCTTTCTTCGTTCATTATGCAAGGCTTGAACGTCGTTGGGCGTCGATGGTTTTGCAGATGTGTCTTTGGTTCCTTGAAAATGACCATCTTCCCAAGTCAAGAACAACCGACCTTGGTCGTCGTTCGTTGTCTGCCAAAGTATAGCGTATGCCCATGCCCCTTGCTGGCTTTTGACGAGGAATTGAAGCTTCTGTTGTAGGGTTGAACATGGAGTCTCCTGGGAAAATGAAAGTAGTGATGAGGAGGAGGATGAAGATCTTATTAGCTCTTCCATGGCTACTGGGAAAAGAAAAACGTGTGGACTGAACCAGTATGAGATGCAAGAAAAAGGAGAGAAACGAGGATGAAGTGAATTCTATGAGAGAATCTAGAAAGCTGAATCTTATTTCAGCCCATTTTTTGTGTGATCTTGTCATATATATGGATGATATAAAATTAAATTAATAAGAATAATGTGCACCATTATTTTAAATACATAATAAATTTTCAGCTATAAAACGGGCTATAAAATAATGTTTAAAAGATAAATTATAGTACCATTTAATCCTGAGTAGGATGATAGATACAGGTGGGATGAGAGAAAGAGAAAGAGAGAGGGAGAGGAAGTGGAAGTGGGGCAACCGGGTAGAAACTTTTGAGGCAAAAAGGATAAGAACAAATAAGAAAATTTGATTAACCGAATATAAGATTAATTTTTAGAATAGTATTATCGGAAAATAACATTATTATAGAAATGTTGTATTATCTTATTTGATTTATTTAACATGAATATAAAATTATAGTGTTTAGTCGGAAGAATATAAAATTATAAGAATATATATTTTATTAAATTATCCTTGGGATATATGTTTTAAAAAAAATTAAAATTTAATATTAAATTATAAATATTTGAATAAAAATTCATTGAAATATTTTAATCGTTAAATTACAAATGTAGCCTTTTATCTATCCCAGATTAAAAAAAAAAAGAGTTTTTGTACTTTTTTAAAAAATAACATGATCATCATATATTTTCTCTCTCAATATGGCTATTGAACTCAGGAAACAAATCTAATATAACTCTTTGACTAATATTTTTCGTTGTTTGACCATTACGATATTGGCATGACAGTTCACGGTGCTGATGTGACGATCCACAGTATTGACGTGGCGCAGTCCATCGGTCGTGTTTAAGTTCCCAATTTAGACCATTTGTTGTGATATTCGTCATATTATTAACCATTATGGACTGTCACATCAAAACATGGACCACCATATTAACACTGTGAATTGTCACGTTAGTATTGTAACGATTAACTACAAAAAATATTGGTTAAAAGATCACATTGGACTTATTTTTTGAGTTCGATGGTCGTATTGAGAAAAAATAATAATATGAGAGCCGCGTTAATTATTTTAAAAATTACAATGACCTTTGATGCTTTTTTACGAAATTTAAATAGAGGCCATTTGGAGCTTCAACATTATATTGGGCACCACTACCATCACGTGAACTGATAGTGAGGCCCAGAATGGTTGTGGGATCGGTCCTATTCCACTTGGTTAATTTCTTTACACGTGTATAATTAAATAAACTTTCTTCATAATTTTGGCAGGAACCTAAAATCTTGTGGTCCAATATTTCTACATGTCGGTGACAGTTGTGCTTGAATGATACACAAGCAAGTGATTAACTAAGACTATGTGCCCTACGGAGGGTCAACATTCGGTTTTATTGGTTGGTTTGATCCATTTTTCTAACATAAATTGAACTGATTATTCAATTTAGATTCAATTGGTTCAACCAAATCAGTTTAATATCGGTTGGTTTCATCAGTTATTTTGCTCTTCCATTAAGTTTGTTTCAATGTTGCAGTTGCACCGAGGATGCATCTAGGCGGGGATGAGGGAGATCGCCCCTAACAATTATTGATACCACTGGTGTTGTCGCCATGTTTCACGGGACAAATTCCGATGTCTTCAATGGAAACCATGATGAACTTGACTTTGAGTTCCTCGGGAATGTTCCGGGGAAACAATGTCTCTATATGCTACGATATAGGATGGTTCGGATTGGGATATAGTCTTGGGGTGGGGGGGGAGATAAGGTCGATTATCGGTCGAATTATCGATATGCACCTTCCACAGGTAATGGTGGGAAATTTTCTTCTTATTAATGCAATCTTAGTGTTAAGTTCCTTTATGTATACCAGATTTGCATCTTGTTTTGATTTGGTAATTATATGCTCAGCTTCCATATATATTAATCCAATTATAAGCTCTATGTTTCAGCTTTTCTATCTAATATCAGATACGATTGATAAGATTTCGAATTTCAGGTACGTTTCCTTCTGTATTCGACTTACAATTACATCAACATTTTTAATTAAAATCAATCATTATAAAGTAAATAATGAATAAAATTCCAATTTAAATGGATGGGATAAAATTTATAAATTCGATCGGGTCAAATACGACGGTTCTGGATCCAATCGTTTATCTTTTACCCAAAATTGCACCTGCTAAAAACAATTGCCCAATTGATTATTACTCATTATACTATTATATAAACTTGCAATTAAAAACTATGTTGTTCATGCACCGAACCGATCTGAGTGCACCAATTGGATGCCTCTATAGCCATGGGCAAATTAAAATGACATTAGTTTCTCGCAATCATGAATGGTTCGTTAAACGGTTAAGTTTAATCCCATAGGCATTGTAGCATGAATCCATACCTCGTCATCTCTGACATTATAGTAATAAAGGCATAGTTTAATATGTGACATTTGGTCAGCTATATAGCTTGAATAATATATATCTTGATGGGTTTTTTTTTAATTGAAATTACTAGCTAGCTAATATTATTCCATTAAATAAATTGTTGATCGGATAGTTAGCGAGCTATATATATTTGTTCCCCCGTCACAATCAACAAAACAAAGCAAGATGAGAAAACTATGGTCAGATCGAGGTGTTGGAATTTTCGGTGTTTGAAATTTGAGTTTTATCATGTATAAATTTATGTATGTATAGATGCTTATCTTATTTTTTTTCGTGTCCATGTTATTTTGGTTCAGGTCGAGACCTAAACTTGATGGCTAGTTATACGTTGGATTTTCCACGACATAAATGTCTCCAAATGCTGTTTTATCCGTATGTTCGTTGTTTGGTTTTAAGGACGAGTAAATTTTGTGTGCCCTACAAACAAGAACAAACACATAAAACCCCTTGGTGTGAAGGAAATGAGTTGCTCCAAAACAGGGTATTAATTGAACCCACCGTCCGCTCTTGGCTTTCCTTCTTCACACAGTTCGACGTCTCATTCAATTCCCAACACCTAACTCAAATTCAATGCGATTCGGATAACAAAGTGATCCGCAAATAAAATTTTAATCTTTATAGACATGTTTAGACCCTAAACCGGGACGCCCTCCCTCATTGTGTTACTCGATTCCATTTATCGATAACGATTTTCAAATCAGAGGCGAGATGAAAGATTTTAAAATGAACACATGCTTATTTTGAAATTTAATTTATATTCATTACATATGAAAGAAATTTGTTATTAATATATATATTCATCCTAAAAGTATAGTGCTCAAATTTTCAAACTTAAAGCAAAGGCAATGACCTTACTTGTCCTCAATATATATATTTAAAGATTGAAAAGAAACGGAAAGGAGGAAGGCATTGGCTGCTTCTTTTCCAATATGAGTCCAAAACAAATATATACGTGGGGTAATGCAGTTATAAAACAACGTTTTATCGTCATCGCCGCATCATCTTCTTTCTCATCTGCTAATAATTTTTTTATCATCAAACCCTAAAACAACCGACATGATGATGATGAAGAAGAAGAAGAAGGGATTTGTCGCCATCAATCAAGCCCCGAACATTCCTAAACTCCTCTACGGGACAAGGGATTGTGATGGTGCCCTTCTGGTCGAACCCGTACTCCTCCTCGGCTTCTTTCAACAGCTGCATGAACAAAGGGTGGTTGAAGTAAATAACCGGCACCACGAATCTCTCTTGCTCCGCCTCAGTTGACCCTACTTTGATAGCCAAACACCCTTTCGGCACATCCTTTGTTTTCTTCTTCCCATGATGATGATGGTGAAGATTCGGTAGGTGTAAATGGAAGCTCCTCACTGTATTCTTCTCTCCACCGCCCATATTTAAACAGAAGCAAAGCTTTAAACCGAAAACCCTACTTTTAAAAAAAACAAAGGGTTACAAGGAAGAAGAAGGAAAGGGCCAAGGGTTCTTTGCATGTGAAGAATAGGCTTTATTCATGGTTGATAATCTTCCATATCAACTCGCAAACTCATTGTACCCAGAATATATAATGTGTAACATGGAGGAAGAAAGGAGACGGTTTTTATATCTACGGAAAGGGCTAGGGTGTTTCTTAAGAAAGTTTGATTTTTAAAGGATTCTTATGATGATTTAAAGGGTAAGGTTGAGTAGATACACGTGGATGGAGGTGGAAGGGAATATGAAATTTTTTAGGGTAAATTACAAATTGAGTAGATTCACATGGTTGATTTAAATCCTTTCAATTTCTTTACTGAACTTAATATATTATATAAAATCGGTTGTTATATAGATATAAAACGATGTCGTTTTGGTGAATTTTTTTCTAAAACGGCATCGTTTTTAACACCGTTAATTATTTAAAGACGAAGTAACCCAAATAAGAGAGAAAATAAAGTTCACTGACAAAAAAAACCTAATATATTAAGTTAAATGAAGAAATTGAAAATTTTTAAAGTTTATTGAGCAAAATAGGAGAATAAATAAAGTTTAGTGATGAAATTTGTAGTTTACCCATTTTTATTATAATTAAAGGAAAGTTGCCGACAGACGACATGAAAGATGTCGTTTTACGGCTTTGAGCGGTAAGATTCAAGTTTTAAATTTATAAATAAAAATAATATTGAGCATTAAAAAATCTAACATTAAATATAAATATAATAAGAATATATATAAAAAAGACAGGTAAGGCCATAGCCAGGTTTCGAGTGTGTCCAAATAGGCATGGAAGAGGAGGTAAGGTGACGTCAGTATTGTGAATTTTCTAAATTTCTTATTTTTTTTATTCCTACCGCTTATTACGGGTTAGTTGGTTTCTCTTTTTTATAATCAGTACAAATGTTTATTTCTTTGAGAAAATGTTGATTAAGGAGTAAAAAAACACTAATAAATTAATTAAATCGTGCTGCAAAAGACGATGGTGTCCCCAAGAGTACGTGCTTTGCCGTAACAACTCGAAAATACGGTCAAACGCCACGTGTAAGATTAAGACCGCAATTCCTTTTCGGGGGCGGGGGATAGCTTTTTGTGACAAAACTTTTGAGATAATGTTCTGAAAGAAATTAATTCGCGAGATAATGCATTCTCAAGATTAATTGTTTAAATAGGGTGAAATTCACAGTGTTGATTGTAGGTCGTTATGTTTTTCGGGCAACCTAGTAGGTCGTCATGTCTTCCCGGCTAACTACGAGAGATTGCATATGTCATGCACGTCCCAACACGCTGGGCATCTGAGGTCATCCGATCCAGCTATGCGAGAGCATCCGAGACTAACTGACCGAGACCATCCGAGCGAGCTATGCGAGGGCAGCGAGCGAACTATGCGTGGGCATTTGAGCGAGCTATGCGAGGACAGCCGATCGAGCTATATGCACGTCCCAACACGCTGGGCATCTGAGGTCATCCGATCCAGCTATGCGAGAGCATCCGAGACTAACTGACCGAGACCATCCGAGCGAGCTATGCGAGGGCAGCCGAGCGAACTATGCGTGGGCATTTGAGCGAGCTATGCGAGGACAGCCGATCGAGCTATGCGAGGGCATCTGAGCAAGCGAGCAAGGTTAGGTCGCCTGGAGGGCATGACGATCTATTTGTTGGGACGTGCATGTGCCATGCAACACGTTTATTATCTATGTGAGTTCGCCGGGAAGCTGGCCACGAAATAGGTCGCCCGGAAGGCATGGTGACCTACGATCAACACTGTGGATTTCACCCTATTTGAGCAATTAATCTGGGAAGTGCATTATCTCGTAAATTAATTTCTTCCAGAACATTATTTCGAAAATTTTGTCCTTTTTTTTAATAAGTTTTACATAATATGCTTTTATACTTAATTATATATATTAACTGATTTGATAGGTTGATTTGAAAGATATATGTATTTTGGAGGTAGAAACGTATATTGGTTATTTTAAAATTTGCTAATTCTGACATTTCAAAAAAAAATTGTAATTTAAATTTACCAAAAATTCGACAGAAATTTTTATTAAAATCCCAAACCTGGCCCGATCCTAAATAAATATATTTATAAAAATATTTTTATTTAATAAAAATAGTGATTTAATTAAGAAATAATATATAGAGGGTTATTATTGTAATTATCTCTAAATATTTATGGTAAATTTAAATTATTTTTCGGGTCAGGTCGAGTCAGAAAATTTTCACCCTAAACTCGAATCCTACCCAAACCAAACATATTCTCTAAAAAAAATTAACCTAGTCTTATCAGAACTTACTTTTTTATAATAAAAAAATCCAACCTGATCGAATAGAATCGGATCAAAACCCGTCGAGTTTAGATCTCGTGCCCAACCCTAGGTGTAGCTAATGCTTCAATGTTCAAAATACCAAATACTCCGCAGCCCACAAAGTGTTAGCCAATCCCTATAGTTACGGGCATCAATTATAAATGATTTAAGCGTCATTTCAAACACCATTTAAGCATCAATTATTACACAATCAACTCGCTTAATTATTCCACACGAAACTTGTCTAAATACATACACTTGGAGGTTCCATCAAATGGAATTATAGGCTGTTGTTTTGAAAAAAATCGTTGGTCCGCCCATTTTATTTGTACACCACATGCATCCAAAACAAAAAAATAACTGTCCCTCTCATATGTATGGAGTAAGAAGGAGGTAAGATAGTAGGTTACTACCCAATACCAGGTTGAGAGCAGTTTCCGTAAGAGACCTCCGAATTATGATATGTCCTCCGTGGGACTCGATCTCATGACCTCAAGGTTAAGAACCTTGTGCTCTACCAACTGAGCTGGATGATCATTTCACATGCATCCAAAACAACTTTTTTTTTTCTGAGTTTAGAATTTTAACCTTGCGTTAAATAATGGGTACATATAGACTTGTTCAATTTCATCACTTATGGGGAACCGAATATAGTATCAAAACTAGTTTGCGAAATTCACCAACAGGCAACATGGATTGATTCAAGTGATAAGCACTTTGATTTTATTTAAACATAATTTTGAGTTCAAGTCCTTGTGTATAGAGAAAATTCATACTGATAAATTTACCTATTAAAACCAGATGTGCGAAATGGATCGGTCTGAATTAGTCAAAACAAACCCTTATAACAGGAAAGCAACAAAAAAAAAACTAGTTTGCAAAATTCTAATTTTGAGTTCGCCAAACCTTTGTGCTTAATAAAAAAATTAGATAACGTTATGGATATTATATGTTTGGGCACATCTTTGCAGGTTCGGGCTTTAAGAGATTCGGCTGGTAAAAACGGCGAGACCAATGTGGAATGACAACTTGAATATATGATGAGAGTAAATTCTGAGCTTTAGCCCAATTATATTAGTATTGGGCTTTGGAATATTGGACCATATCATGTATATACTAAAAATATATTTCTTCAAATTTTGGTATAATGAAAGAAAAAATTTAATGTTCGATTAAATAATTACGTTAGCTCCTATTTTTGGAGCATTTCAGCTCCCAGATTTCATTTTGGGCTAAATGGTTCTTAATAGGATGAGAATTATTAATTGACTAATGATTTACTGTTTTTTATACGTAACATTTGTCATATCATCATTTTCACCATGTGACATATGGCATGTTAACAATGGTTATTCTTGAATTGGTGACTAAATTATTTTTTGAATCATTAATGTGCTTAGTGTTACAAAAGCTACCACCTTGGATGTAAAGGTCGTTAAATTCCACTGTTAATAATTTTGAAATTTTTATTTTAAAAACTTTAAAAAGACATTTAAAAAAAAACTTAAATTTTCAAAAAAATTAAAAATCTATCCTAAACTTTGAAACCCCTAAATCTAGTCCCTATACTACTGCACGTCGCCACCCACTGCTTTTGTCGTCGATGGCAACGCCTCCACCAAAGATCACTTAACCAACAAACAAGCGCCATAATAATAGCCGAAAACCCCTAAAATCAAGACAAAATCTACCCCGATGAAGCGACGACCATCGCGAAGACTATCACGGCTCCACAGCAAGAACGACACCGTCCGACTACGGAGATGGCAAGGAAGGTGTCGGAGACGATGGCCATGACCAAAAACGGAGGTGGAGCCGACGTGGGTCCAAATCAAGCGTCCTTTCAGCTAATGGGAGGTGGCTAGCAGCACTGTTGAGAATTTTTGCTGAGATGAAATGAAACCAAGCCAAGCATAGGATCATCCTGCAGGTATGCAAACGAGGCATTAACATCTAGGTTGAAATCCAAGTTTATGGGTCCAATGGTGGTTTAACAACATTAATTATGTCTGAAGAAATTAATTAGAAACATTAATGCTGTCGTGGAGTATTAAGAAGAAGATTGTGACATTGGTTACCTAGATTCTCAACCAGGATTTAAGTACCATTCACTGCTCAAGGCATTAACTCCACCATGGCGGCTGAGCATGTAAGCAGTAAATATAAGGGTTTAGGGTTGTTAAATGTAAGGGTTGATCCAAAATAGACCTGTATATGTCTCTCTTTACCTTTGGCTTGGGCTTTGTTCGAAACCCTAGGGAGTAAGGAAAAAACATCATGGGAAAGATCTGAGCAATGATAAACCAGAAAGGAGGACTGAAACTTTGTACTGGCAGAAACACACAGCAAAATCAAAAGGAGATCCTAATGATGATAAAAAAAAAATTCCAGACATCAAATTGGTCGAAACCATTCATCATTACACACGACAAATAAACAACAACATACCCAATCACATGATCTAACGTAAACCAGACCCGAATAGCCATTAAAACCTGGAAACCGAAACCCTTACACGCTGCAGTCGTTGCCTTTGCAAAGCATGATATGGGAGCAATGATTGGGGGGAATGAAGCCTGGTCCGACGACACAGGCAGCAAAACCTCAATCCATTTCAACAACGATGGAATGAAAACAAGCGTCCCCGAT